ATCCCCCATGAATACATATATGCATTCTCACAGAGCAACTTGAAATAGCCCACATTAGCTCAGTGTTTTTAGTGTTTTTCTTATCCAAGCAATATGATACGGCCACTCTGAGAATAGTTATCAAAGTAACTAGAAAGTTAATTGATGAGATAAATAAAAACAGAATTCTAGATGTTGCTGGGTGGTTAAATCGTGCTCAGGATGCAAAGTGGGGAATCTGGAAGGGGCGTCCGTTTATTCAGGCCACGAGGGCACCGTTTAAGGAATTATTATTCTGGTAAATGAGCATAAATAGGACCCTAGTGACTGAAAAATTTGAGGCTGCTTCCAAAAGCTCTAATTTTGCACCCAGGGAGTGCAAAGAAGAATCTGGGTGGAATAAATAACCAGATACAGAATGCAAAGGCAGAGGGTCTGGGCCAAGGTGGAAGCCACGTTTGAGAGGTCAGGTGCTGATGGCAAATGTCAGGGTGTGTTTTACAGAAAGGCGATAATAGCAAATTGATCGTCATGGGGCTTTGACATTGGGGTGTCAGTATCTAGGTAAATTCCCAGGTAAACTCCCAGCTCAATCTGAGTTTGAGCTTGGGACTGAGGCCGAAAAATAGCAAATATGAGGTTTGGGCCAAAGGAGCAGACCGCTATTCTCACTTGGCTCCCGGTGTCCCTGCTTCCCACAACCTGTCCTCCTCTCTGCTTATCTACAGATCCCTCCAGTGTGACATATATATCGTCCGTGCAAGGTTTTTTCTATGTCCTCACGTGTAATTTTTGTGTACAGAAAGTTATTTTCATTTTAAAGATTAGCATTCGAATTGTTCAAGACCTACTTATTTCTGAAGCTTTTAAGAAGTCATAGTTGTAAGAACATATAATTCTCTTTATAAATCTAGACAGTTTCAACATTCACTTTAAAGAAGGATTTCTAATTTAATTGAGTAAATTCCCTTAAGTGTTTCCGACGATATTTATACATTTAACATATTTGATTTTCCTCCCACGTACTGTTTAAACAAACAACCAAAAAAACTGGGCCAGGTGCAGTTGCTCATGCCTGTGATCCCAGCACTTTGGGAGGCTGAGGCTGGAGGATCGCTTGAGGCCAGGCGTTCAAGGCCTGCCTGGGCAACAGCACAAGACCCCGTCTCTATTAAAAAAACCGAACTTCCCCATGTTCTTAGATAAGTTAATATCTAACAAATTAAACTTATA